CGCTTCCTTAGTTTAATCAAGAGCGAGGAAGATTCGAATCCGACGTGGCCATCAACACAAACTCGACCTTTCTACAAAGTCCGATGTTTGCGCCGTCCACCGTCGGCATTTCCGCATTTCCCGCGATGCTCAAACTGCCAGAGACGAGCCGCCAGTCCATCATGAGCAGCAGCTCCGTTCGCAGCACCCGTCGACCTGGCTTGAAGAAGAAGAAGAAGCCCACGTCGCAGCACGCTCAAGGCCTCTGGCGCAAGGAAGAGCACGAACGCTTCCTCATTGGCCTCCAGCTTTCCCGCAAGGTCCGTGGAAGGCGATTGCTGAGATCGTACAAACGCGCACCGCCAAGCAGTCCCAGACGCACATGCAGAAATGCAAAGAGAAGATGGTCCGGAAGCTCCGCGAACACAACATGCTCGTCGACGACGACATCTCGGAGCCGACGTCGGCGGCTTCGAACCGGTGCAAGCAGGCCGCGAGTCTCCACGTGTCGGCAGTGACACCGATTCCCTTTCACAGCGCGGCCGGCGCGGCCTTGGCCCCCAACAGCCTCGTACCCAGCGACGAAGCGAGTGCCGTGTCGCTCGAAGACTCGCTCGATTTTTTTATTGCCACGATGCCAATGGGCCGCTTGCGACTCTAGCGATATCGTACCTTAACCTAACTGCTAACTTGAATTTATTCCAATACCATCATCGATCGCGGGGTGTTCAAAGATCGGTGGCATGTATATTACTCGAAGCGCTGCTCGGGGTTGGGGCAGAAGCGGCTCGGCCGTCGGACGACACGCCAGACGCAGCCGCCTATGATCTTTGAGACGTCCGCGTCTCTCATTGGTCAAAAGCTTGCCGACGACGCCACCTGCGAGGCCGGCGTCACCGCCACGTGGTGTCCAAGGAGCCTTCTCGCTTCTTGTCGTCGCGGCACCCGTGCCGTTTCTTTGGGGAGCGACTTGGAAGATGCGCTGCTTCTCTTTCAAGCAGCTGCACTCGTCGTGCAATGAGCTCGGTCGCAACGGCATTGCGGTGACGGCCAGCGCGACGGTGCTTGGATGTGTGGTTAAAAAATACAATATTGTCATTTGTGCAAAAATCTGTCGCTTGAAGCAACCGTCCACGAAATTAGACTAGAAGTGGATTGGACAGGGCTATCTACCAACAGTACTGTCCGACGTTGGTGGTTCATGGAACCAGCACCTTCTTTGCGACGCTGCACAGAAACCTACCTGCATGTCCAACGCGGTTGGCTCCACAACGGCGATACCAATGAGCGGTGCGGACGGCTGCCTCGGTCGTCTTCCAAAGCATTATGATGGGGTATCGAACCGCCGACCACCGGGGGGATTTCCGGTGTAATTTGTGTTTTTCATGCATTTTATATGACGGTGCTGCGGTATGAACAAGCGTCGCGATGCGGACCAAAAAAGCCCATCATGCAGGAATGGGTGATGTTGGCGGTAGCTTCCTCTACACCAGACGGACTTGGGCGGATGGGCTCGATGACAAATATGTACTCGAAACGACGATTTTGTGTTGAATAAGTGTTCTAGCACGAGGAGCTAGCACGAGGATGAAAACACCGAGTTGGTGCTATTGCTTCAAAGGATGCAGTCAAGAAGTGAGACCCCAGAAAGGCCACATTGCCGTTGGGCTGACTCAGATGAGTGTGGACCAATTAGACGCTGACATGTGGGTGGACCGGACAGCGCATGGTCGCAAAAGACTCTGATAGGCTCGTCGTCGTCGTGCCTCGCTCCGAGGCTACCGACGTCGACCCACACGGTCTAGTTTTTTAAATACATGCGTACATAATCGTTTTGTATGCAATACTTTAACCTCGTCCTCGACTGTAAACCCAGAGGCAAACCAGATCTGGCCATCGCACCCAGAATCATCAACGGTCAGAGGTGCACGGCAGCCCCATTGATTTCACTCATGCCGGTGCCTTTACCTCGCTGGATCCGCGGCAGTGCCCTCAAGGACGATGCGACAGAGAATCTAGCATCTTCCTCTCATCTCTCCAGACACCGTAGGACTCGAATGCCACCAGCACCAAGCCCACTGCGATGGAGTTGGTTGCATGCAAGAGCACCCCTTTTTGTCACGCGACCAGGACATGTTGCACCAGCTGGTCGATGCGTCCAATTCATGGGACCACATCACTTTTCCTTTTACCTCGAGGATGACAGCAGCGACGCACGCAGAGGGCTTTTGGGCCAACCTTTTCAGCGCTGAGAACACGCTCGGCGAGCTCCTCGACGGCAACAATCACCCGGTGGCGATCTCGGACTTGAACCCGATCGTGCTTGTGCTGCTCTCGGCGTACTGGTGCCCGCCGTGCCGCGCGCTCACGCCGTCGGTTGTTGAGTTTGTCAAGAAGCACCCGACGGAAGTCTCGGTCGTCTACTTCAGCCGCGACTACAACCCCGAGATGCAGGCGTTCAACCTCCGCACCAAGAGCGTTTACAATCGGTTCGCGTGGCACGCTGAGAACATCGAGACGTTCAAGCGGCTCAAGATTGCATATCCCTCGATCCAGGGCATCCCGACCATGTTTGCCGTGGACCGCGACTCAGGCAAGATTTTCAGTGAGCGCGCGGCCGTGAGCATTCGTATCTTCCCTGACTCGGTCGTCGACCAGTGGAAGAACGGCCAAGACATCACCCAGGAAGAGGAAGACGAGTACTGGGGCCGGTCCCGCGCCTCGAATGCTCCGGACGTCGACATTGTTGCGCACCTCCCGCTCGACACGATCGTGGACGCCGACGGCGCGCCGATCGGCTACGACTCGCTCAAGCAGTTTGTGCTTTTCTACTTCAACGCCAAGTGGGCCCACAACGCCGACGGCGACAAGCTCACGCCGGCCATTTCCGCGTTCGCCAAGGGCCACGCCGACGACGTCTCGGTGGTCTACTACAGCTTGGACACGGACGCGGACGATGCCAAGACGGAGTTTGCGTCGTTCAAACACAGCGCCAACTTGGTCGAGACGGCATACCAGCTCGACAAGATTATGACCAAAGACAACGCGTACAACACGCTCGCGGCGCCGCGCGTGATTGTCGTCGAGAAGGACTCGCATGCGGTCGTCGCCAAGCACCATTACGGCATCTTGATCAAGCCCAACGAGGTCCTCGGGGCGTGGAAGCTCGGCGAGTCGGGCATCACCGACGCAGAGGTCGGCGCGTGGTTCCAAGCGCGCTGGGAGGCCGAGCAAAAGAGAAGGCCGAAGAGGAAGCGGCCAAGGCCGAGTCGGCCTAAGACAGTAGTGGTCCGCGGCCGTGCAATGTGACAACAGTGTATATGGGGACTATTTTGCTCGGAAATAAATCTCCATTGTGCAATAAGCTTAGCTCGCCGCATTGCGAGCTCATTCTAGGATCGCGCTACACGTGTGCTTGGACCCAAGTTGAAGAGATCACCCCCGTCCGGGATTGGGACCAGCAAGGCAAAAACAACATCCACGAAAATGCAAAAGCGTCATCTGAGTTATACTAGCCAAAAGTCTACCTTCATGTATTGTACCAAAGACTATAGAACAGTAAAGGCTCTACAAGTATAGCCTTAGGTATGCTAAAATTTTGGGCATTCCAAAGGCTTCCATCCGGATACCTAGTCTGTCCTGCACGCGTTTCCCCGCCGAAACGGCAGGCGTTTCAGGGACGGTTTCGCGGCCGACGACGTGGTTGTCCATAAGGGAAACTGCTCTGCATGCCTGCTACTACCTAGAGGCAGCGAGTGCTACTACCTAGAGTGCCCGAAAGACAATGATGCCTTTGCGTTGGTCCTCAAGATGGTGCAACTTTAATGAGATCGAGTCGTGGCGTCACCTTTACTAATACTTGCCGCCATTGAGCAAATCGCTCGGCTGCCGTGCACCTTGCTCGTTCGTCGTCGCACCCACGACAGGAAGCACGTGAATAGAAAGAGGCGATTGTGTTGCCGTCAACGTCGTACATCTGCTCCTACTACACAAGATACCTCGACCAGGTCGCTGCTTCGATTGCCGATGACAGCGCCGTTTCTGCGACCAAACGTTCGCGGTCGTCATCTTGCCACCGCATGGACTCTCGTGTCGTTCTATGTGGCAGCTGTTCTATATCGGTCGGCTGCATCCTCCCCTTTCCACGGCCCATTTTGCAAGCGCTACCAGTCCACCACGCATACAGTCCTTCGCCTCCAAGACGATAGTCGTGTCACCTACTGTGTTGCTGTGTACGGCTGCTCTGGCACGCCGATGCATACCAGTCTGATCTCTCGCGTCTGGTCGGCAGCTGGTGCACGGTCCGCCCAGAGACATACATTCACGCTGTGAGCACCGAAAGCGACAAAACACGCATACGCTGTCCCATCATATTTGGCCGTCCATGCCACCACGAGAGAATCCAGGTCGCTTTCTCTCAATTCATTCAATACCGACAGACAATATACACAAACATTTCGACCATAATACTGAAAACAAGTAAAATCGAGTACAAAACGCTCGGTTGGCGCGGTGAAGTGTAGCCTGCGTATGCGTGTCTTGTCGAGACCGGCCCGACGACACCCACAACCGACGTCACTTTGCCATTGCGACCATGACGGGCTTTTGGAGCTATCTCTTTGACGACGACGTCGACCTTGGGCCGTTTGTCGACGCGGCAGGTCGTCCAGCAACCTTGGCCGATCTCAACGAGATCGTTCTCGTGCTCTTCTCAGCCTACTGGTGCCCGCCATGCCGGGCCTTCACGCCGTCGGTGCTCCAGTTTCTCCGAGCCCATCCGAACGAGGTCTCGGTCATTTATTTTGGCCGCGACCACAACGCCAACATGCAGCGATTCTACAATCGGCACAAGCCGTACTACCGCTTTGAGTGGCGCGAAGCCAACACGGTGGCCTTCCAGGCCATCAAGGCCGCGTATCCGTCCATCCAGGGCATCCCGACAGCTTTTGCCGTCGAACGCGACTCGGGCATGGTCTTCTCGGAGCGCGCGCGCATCGGCGTGCTCCTCCAGCCCGACACCATCTTGAGCCTCTGGCGCGCCGGCGACGACATTTCCGAGGCCGACGAAGAAGCCTACTGGCTGCGTGACGAGCCTGTCGCCGAGCATACCGAGAAGGTGGACGTGATAGCCTACCTTCCGCTTGAGACGCTCGTGACAGCAAATGGTGATCCCATTGCTTACGAAGCGCTCCATACGTTTGTATTGCTCTATTTTAGCGCGAGCTGGGCGTTGAGCGACGAGCTCACGCGCTCGATCGAGGAGTTTGCGACCACCAACGCCGACGACGTCTCGGTCGTCTTCTTCAGTTTGGACGACGAGCCGAACGACGAGCCGATCAAACATAGTACGTCGTTCCATCGGTTTACGCACAGCAGCCATTTGATCGAGGCGGCCGATGCAATCGACAAGGCACTGTCGGCGCACGACGCCTATAACACGCTGGGCGCGCCGCGACTGCTTGTGATCGAGCGTGCGTCACATGCGATCGTGGCTGCGGATCATTATGGTCTCGTCATCAAGCCCGACGAAGTCGTGTCGGCGTGGAAGACGGGAGACGCGGGTGTGACGGACGATGAAGTGGACGCGTATTTCGACCAGCGGTAGTCGTCGCAACGAGTGCGCGTGTGTTTTTGTTATTAACTAAATTACTTGGATAGTGGTGTTGTTAAGCGAAATATTTGTGTATGGATCGTACAGGATGGTAAGGGCACAGAATTTATGATAAAGTGTCGTTGCTGCCAACGAGGTTTTGAGTGGCACGGAGCGTGATTCGATTGAAAGTGGCGTGGTCCAAAGTGCATCACTTCACCATCGGATTGAGATGGACGTCAACTCGTGTCTTATTGGTCATTCTCGGTCCATCTACTTTGAATCCTGGCCTTCCTACAGCTCTCTTCTTCTTGGCAAAAGCAGTCAGTGACAGAGAGCTGGATGTTCTCTTGTGACCCGTGGATCGCGCGCCAGTTTACGACTCAACTGAGTGAACGAAGCTTCCCTAGTTGAGATTGATCGATTCAAATCGACGATTTTTCTACAAAAACAAGCTATCGTTACCGAGAATAACGGTACTTCCTCTGGTTGATAAGCGTGGACTGTACAGCTGCCTTGTCGTGTCCCAAGAGGCCTCTTGGTGTCCAGGGTACCCTTGTTGGCGTCGACGCGGCCGCATACTATTTACGTATAACCTGTGTGTTTAGGTATAATACTACGGGTTTCAATGGCAACGACGAAAGATTGAAATTGCGGGGTTTGATGTGGCGAACGTCGGAGCTCAAACCATCCATGGAGCCTCGGTCAATCCACATGGTGCGTACCACACCACTATCCGGTACACAGTGCCTTTTAGTATGTGGACCCGAGACATGTCCAATGTGACGTTATGGCAACGCATGCGGTCTACATGGAACATTTCTGTAGTCCAAAAAGACATGCGTGTGGACACATGTGCTGGTACGATGCCACTCTTCTTCTTAATAGCAAGTGTGATCGCTTGCGGCTTCCGAGTGCATTCGCAGGTCCCTATAACAAGTCGCCTATCTCGTCGGCCATGTGCGACATGGCATAACCATGTTTCTAAACACCAACATTGCCGAGAACCAGTTCCATCTTTGTCCCGTTAGCGACAAGGTAAACATCGACCGTGACGCACTGTGCGCAACCATGTTCGTGCCGACATCATCCTATGGCACCCAAGTGAGATGCAGTTGTCGCTCCAATTTAGCAGCCGAGGCGACGACGTTGACTGGATCTCATACAGTGTACCGATACCAATCTTTTGGGTTACCTCGCCTTCAAGGCGATCGATACGTCCATGTTAACAGCGCAGTGCCACGCTCTTGGTTTCTTCTTTCTCGAATCTCGGTCCCGAAGCAACTGTGGCCAGATGGAGGCCGCTCGACGCTAGCGCATCGTCCCACGACACATAGACCAGCACCCAAAATGAATACGCTATCGTCAGGCGTAGGACTTGGCGACCAAGGTCGCGGTCGTGCCCCGAGAAGCCATCCCTATCAACTCTTGGTCCGTTGCACGTACGTAGTGCTTGGTAACGTCGCATTCCAACGAAAACATCCAATCGTTTTCTCCCAATACGATGCGCTCGCGCCTTCCTCGGACACGAGCAGCAGTGAGTTGCACGTGGACTTCGCCGACGTTCGAGCACTCGCGATTGAACTATTGCGATCGGGCGTATCGTCCCACGCTGCGCGAGTGTGGAAAGCCGTTGGAACCAGCCACCCACGCCTTTCTATCAGCGCTACCTAACGCTCCATGGACGCGCCATTCAAAAGTGCCAAATGCGACGCACTCGCCCAGCTGCGCCGAGTGGCGTACGTGTACCTAGAATCTGATCGGCGAGAGGAAGGCCGACAACCCGACGCACGTTAAAATAGTGTAATATATAAGCATAATTAGAGGCACGCCTTTGATCTACTCGCCTTCGACGTAGCTCTTCATCTCGTTGATCAAAAAGTCGAGCGACTCTTCGACCGAGAGCTCGTGCCCGGTCGCCGTGTGGCGCATGCTGGCCCCCCGACACAGAAATCCGTCCGTGGGCTCAATGTCAAACGGGATCGGGTGCAGCACTTGGATACCGAGCGTGTCGGCGTGCTTGGTGCGCTGCGTGCGGCTCGATGCGTACCCGCCGTCGCTGTCGCTGCTCGAGTGCCCGTCGTCGTGTTCGAGCTTGGATTGGAGCTCGCGGATCCGCCGGTAGAGCTTCTCCTTGCACTTTTGCATGTGCGCCTGCGCCTGCTTGGCGTTGCGTGTGCCAATCATGTCGGCGACGTCCTTCCACGGGCCTTCCGGGTACAAGCGCAGCGCCATGAGGAAGCGTTCGTGCTCGAGCGCGGTCCAAAGGCCTTGGGCGACTTGGGGTGGGCTGCTGGCGTCGTGCATACTCCTTGTATGTGCTAGGTTGCAAATTTGAAAATAATATCTCGAGTGGCGTCTGAGCCAGAGTGGGATGCCTGCGGCCTTCTTGCTACTTGGCTGTGCCCGATACCAGAGTCTGATTCTCGCCGAGAAGTGAACTCGCACTCTGGTCGCGCCCGTCGTGAGCCCTCGCCCGGTACTAGTCACCCACGTTCGAACAAAGTACCGGTACACGTCGACGACTCGGTCGGCTCTCGTGCGCCAGACGGCTTGTCAGCGTCGTAGCAGCGCCAGGGGTGGTGTTGGTCGTGCACACATAATCATCAGCTTCTTCCTCTTCTTCTCGGATTGCTTGCTGCTCGAGCTTCGCCTTCAGTCCGATTCCAATCGAGAATGGCGCCAATATTTATGGTATGTCTATTTTCCCTTTCAACAGATTTTTTGCGACCTTCCGTGGGCGACGCGCACTCTAAAGCGAACGTAGTACTGTCTAAAGAATGCGTCTGCGAATGTGCCTGCCTCGGACGACGTAAATGTGTGTGGCGTCGACACTCCTCTTTCATTTCGGCGAACATGGATCGAAAGGTGTGTCGCGCCCGTTGGCGCCCATGGCGGATTAGTGTTTCGGTGCCAAACAACCACCATTCTTTGGTTGAAGATGCAAGGCCAAGTTAAGCAATCGGAAGGCTAATATTTCGAGTGGTAGCTTGGATCCCTCGGTTTTATTTTTTGTTTCGCGTCAACCACAACCCGCACGTGCTGATCGACATGTCGAGCTTGTCGCTGGCAGCTCCAGCGAAGACGAGCCTTCAAGATTCGGTCGCGGTGCTTACTTCAGAAAGATGCATAGCTATTATAGCTACTAGACGGAAACCGAATGCGGTTGCAGCAAGGGTGACGCCACATGGCCTTTCTTACATATGGTGCACTCAAAACAGAACAGCTAGCGGCCGAGCGATTCATCCCACTGCCAAGCACGACCGTGTCTCTTGCGCTTCAGATCAGCAACACGTTTGATGACTATACGACTCTTTTCATGTGCCTTTGAACGAGGAAGGGTTAGTAGGACCAGTGCTTGAAGCGTTTACGCGCGCGCTATCACATGCGCGAAACGTGGCTTCCAGTTCGCACCTTGCGACCCTGATATATTTAACGTGGTTGCGTTAAACCCACGTTAAACCAGCGTTTTTTCAAAAGTTGCGGCACGGGGTCAACTTTTCGGGAAAAAGCTCCACCATGGGGGTCTATCTTGAGCAAAGTATGTCGTGGTAGAAGCTTTTCCGAAATATACGTAAAAAGTCGGCCAAATACCATAACTTTTTGAAAAAAACTCGTTAAACCATAGCCACCGCGCAGAACTACGGCAAGCGTGCCTCAACGATGATAATTGACGTCCGATAGAGGCACGCGGCGATACGCACCGCGGCGTTGCCGCAATTGCCGCCGTAACTCTGCCTGGAACCAAATACTAGTAAGTTTGATTATCATTTTTCATCAGTTCGAGAGGCTACTGTACCTCTCGACTTTAAACAACCCGTCGAGGTGTATTTGTAGTCAAGCGGAGCCTCCTCTGTGAACGGAGTCTATTTTACACATCACTGTTTTTTGTTCTCTGCGTCAACGAATCGCTATGACGTTGGTACACTAAACCATAACCGACGCAAGCGTTTCATCGAATCAGCCAGCCAGTTCGTTGTCACCGGAGTCGTTGACGTGCGTTCGAACACCCACTACGTCGCTCCGAGGTTGTTGCTGCGGTTGAAGCTCCTCGAGTAGCATGCTATGCGGCACATAGACGCCCTTGTATGTGGGCGCCGGGATGCTTGTACTTCCCACGTCATAGATTTGTCAAACCTAGACGGGCGAATTGCAACGCTTGCACGGCGATATCGTTTTTATCCTCAAAACCAATTCGCGCAGACTGGTACATCGCACCTGATGCACATTGCGCGCGTCTGGTGACGGTGCCGTGGCTCGTGCGACGACGATACCAGACGCTGGCTTTGGACCAGATCCTACCACCACGTTGTCGACATCGATCGTGCTGCTCGCGGAATCGGCCGGCGCCCGACGTCATTGCGCGTTGCTCGAGTGGCTGAAACGCACAAGTCGTTTTCTTCAGAGGCTCCGCGACGAGATGTGTTGCTCTTGCGAGAGCACTTGTCGACATGGACGCGACAGATGCCGGCGCAACGTCTTTGCTGCGGCGTCATTCATGGATATATTGGCCATCCTTATTTCGCTGACGACGCGTTGATCATCGCGCTTCGCACATGCGTTCAGAGAGTGGCGCGATTGCTTCGACTTGCAAGCAGGTAGAAACATGTTTGGTAACGACGGAATCTCAGATCCGCGCACAACGGTGGCGTGTGTACAAGCATTGTGCCTCTTCCAAATGATGGCAGCCCTGCGGCACGACGCGACAACTTTTGTTCCGAAATGTGCCGTTCACTCGCCACGTCTCCCGCTCGGCTAAGCCTCTCGGCGGCCGGCTCGTCGTAGCACCTTGGAATCGCTAGTCCACCACCAAATCCAGTTCAGTGTAAAGTATAGCGATATAGACTCACTTCAACAACAACAGTGGCGTGTGTACCTGGGTGGATCGCGACGCCTCCATCAAGCACTTGGTGTTTGCCCATGGATGCTTGAACTTCAAGAGCGCTCGTATACGTTTGCCCAGCGGCGACTCGTTGCGCAGTGTCTGCCTCGTTCGCCATGCAGCCGACAACGCGGAGTCGGATCTTGGCACCACTGTGACTTGTGCTGAGCCATTTACTTATCGCCTTTTGTACGAGCCTTGTGCGTCAACCTTCTCGACGTCGAGTCGATGAACGCGACGACCTACTATCCAACCGATCCATTTTGTGCTCTATGGAACAACGTTGCGCGAGGTGTTATCGCGGCTCGGCTCAAATTTCGCAAAGACAGGTACCGCCGTGGTAGAACAGTAAATAAAGCCAATCGTATTATATAGACGCAAGGGCGTAGCGTCAATGACGTGGCGCCTTGAGATGGCACCACGTGTAATGCAGTACAGTACCACCGCATGAACCGGAAGCGTTATTAATAGTTTTGATCTTGGTGCTCTCATGGGAGGAGTCTCGACGTCTGTCACTTCCGCGACAGCTTTCCGCGACCACCTCACAACTGGTGCGCAGCCGCAACTCCCGCGCTTTTTACATATTTGGCGTACATTCTGTAGCCTTCACTGGCCGTGCCAGCATTTGATTGGCTCCTTTGCCGACATTGCCTTTGGCTCTGGATTGGTGCAAAAGACTGAAATTCCGCGCTTATCTCGGCGTTTCATTGGCTAGATTGCCGGCGTGTCTCGGATTGGGCCAATCGTTACGAACAATTACCTTTCTTTTTTCCAGCAGTCGCCAGCGATGGCCGCCGCACCTCGGAGCTCGCCGTCGACCTCGACGCTGCGCGTGCGCATCATCGGGCACGAGCGCAACGTCGACCCGCTCACCAAGAGCCCGATCGTCGTACGTCCTCGCTGCCAGGGCCCACGCACTCATTCCGTCTAGCTGTACCGGGCCGTCGTCAAGTACAACGGCCAGACCTTTGAGCGTGCGCTGCGCTTCAGCCGCTTCTACAACTTCCATATCAACGTACGTAGCACCGACGCCTCTTGTCGCGCTCCACCACGCTCACTCGGTAGCTCAAGCCCGACGAGCAACGGGCCGTCGGTGCCAAGTTCCCGCCCCGCCACCCGTTCCGAACCGACCTCACCGACAAGCTGATCCTCAAGCGCGAGCACATGGTACGAGGCAATGCGAAAGCAACGCTGCGATGACAGAATATGGAGTAGCTCGCCGCGTACATGGCCGGCGTCTCGGCGTTGCCACTGACAACACACATGGAAGCCGCGCTCTTGCGACTGCTGGAGATCCGTAAAAGTCAAACCACGGGCAGCGCGCCCATGTCTGAGACCATGTCGATGGGCAGCGCATACGAGCCGGTGCACCGCATCTTCACCAACGTCAACCGGTTGGACCACGGCTCGTTTTGCTCGTCGCGGTCGTCGCTCCAGCTGTCGCTCTCGGACGCGCAGTCGTCGTCTGCGTCGTGGCAGCAGCGACCGTCCGCATCGTATTCGGATATGGGGTCGCTTACGCACGCTGCGTCAGAGCTCGGGTCGTCGGACGACACCTCGCTGCTGCCGCCGCTGATTCCTTTGAGTGTGGCTACTTCGATTGACGAAGGCGTTGTCGATGAAGAGGACGACGACGATGATTCTCTGTTTGAAGAAGCCATCTCGGAGCCCAATGCATCTGAGATCGGCCAAGCTGCAGTGCGCCAGCGCGAGAAGGTGCAGTCGATGCTACTTCCAGCTGCGCCCCTTGCCGTCCCAAACGAAGAAGACGGCGACGACGAAGAAACCGAGAGCACGCATACGATGGACGTGAGCTTGTACCCGGATGCAATCCAGCAGCAGCTCTGCGTCGTTCAGTCGATCTTGCGCACGAACCAAGCCGCGCGATGAGGCGCCGACGTCACGCGTGCATGAACGTCTTAAATGCCAGCGTCGAGTTGATGGTTGCTGGACTTGATTTCGCTGCCAGCTGATGGAATCTTGGACGTACCGCCGCTGTGCAGCTACTTTTGCAAAGCAAGATCAGGTCTCGCACGGCAACTGCGCGAGGATGTTGCGCCGAGTGCCCATCCTCCTCGTCGCGACAGGCGTAAACCAGCGGTGCAACTGGGTTCTGCTGCTCACACTGGTCCATCGAAGGCTCCATCGTCGAACGCTGCGTCGATCAGCAGTCGGCGCAAACTCAACAGGTCGGAGCTGCTGGTAGCGACAACAAGCGGCCAACTGGCGAGCACCTTGTCTTATTGTCCGCAGTCTCTTTCTCGATCCGCTACAGTACCGAGTCACCCTCTCACAGGTCGTCCCAGGGGTACATAATAGGTACCCCTGGGTCGTCCCCTCGCAGCGCAACCGACGAGTTTGTGCAGCATATCCCTATGCGAAAGGTCAGCTGCGAATGAGACTGGCGCCCTCTTGCGTGACCGGGCCTCGTCATCACGTCGCTGCCGTGGTGCGACGTGCACTTGTGTTGGAAAGTGCAGCGTCCTGCACTTTACGCTCGATCCAAGCACCCTTGATCTGACAAGGTCCAATTTAAGGTCTATCCAACGCCCATCTATTAGTACAGGATGTTGAACTCGAGCGAGCGGTGGGTGCTTCTTGTGGTCGCGACGACAGCTGTCGATGGCTCGTCCATGGCGGACGACACATCCGGAGGCAACAGCTGCCATTGTTGGCATTGAGCGATGGCTGCGGTGGACTCGGTCTTGCAATCTGGGGCTGGAATCTTGCTGCCACGTGTTTCGAGCTTTGCCGAGGGTTCTGGTTGAGGCTGCTTGTCTGGTTCTAGAAGCGCGCTTCGTGGTTCGCAGGCGAGGATGTCTCGACCACGAGCAGTCTCTCCAAGCCAGAAACAACGCCAGCGCAAGCACGCGCTCCAATGGCAGCCACGAGTTGTCTCTGGCGTAGCGCCCGCGCATGGGTTGCACTGCATTCCTTATACTTCTAACCTCTCTCGGGGCGTTCCAGCCGACCAACCACCGACCGGTTGCCGCCCGGGATCCATGCACCCGCTTCTCAAATGGTGTCAAATGGAAAAAATCGTCTCGATTGAGTTGCTTCTTCACTCGTGGGGCAATGCCGCCAGCGCTTCCTTGGCATGAATGTCGATGGGAGCAAGCACTTGGAGCCACTCTCTCGCGGCAGCGACGTTGCGGGTAATACCGATGCCGTCTCGAAGCATCACGGCTACGTTCATCATAGCCAGTGCATGTCCCTTCATGGCTGCTTGCTGGAAGAGCTGGTACGCGACAACTTCGCTCTTCTCGATGCCAATATCGCTCGCGCCTTCCATGTAGACGCAGCCCATGTTGAACATGGCGTTGGGCACACCGGCGGCCGCGGCTTCTTGACGCAAACCGACGCCGAGCGCGCGGTTCACGGGCAGCTCGTGGAGACCGTTGTAGTGCCAGTCACCGAGAAGCGACTTGGCGTGCATGTCGCCCGACTCGGCCGCCTTTTGGTACCACTTGAGTGCTTCCGGGACGTTCTACCCATAGTTGTGTCAATTGGCGAAAATGAGAGAAATGAATAATACCTTGTCGACACCGTCGCCAGTGATGTACAGGTTGGCCACGGCCATGTACGATGGCGGCAGATTGGACTGCGCGCAGAGGAGGTAGAGCTCGAACGCTTTGGACACATTCTTCTTGGTGCCGTCGCCGGTCCGCAGCGCCTCGGCGTAGGCAAAGGTGCCCCAAGGATGCCGGACGTCGGCGAGCTGCTTGAAATGCTTTGTCGCAGAGATCACGTCCGGCTTGGAAAAGCCCTGGCCTTGCTTGAGGAGACGCGCATAGCTAAACTTGGCGTTGTGGTCGCCGGCCTCCATGGCCGCGACCCAGAGCAGCTTGACCTTCTCGAGCTCGGCCGGGTGCGACTCGACTTCGCCGTTCTCCAAGATGGCCTGGCCCATGCGGTAGAGCTGGCTCGGCGACGTGGTCTTGGTCGACAGCATCGACGCGACCGTGGACGGCGTGAGCATCTAGTCCATGGTGACGTCAGCCAAGCCTCGACGCATGCTCGTACGCGGCTCGAGCCTTCGCGGCCCATCTCGCGCAGCGTGGCCACGACTGCGCTAATGTCCTAGGAGGCCCATCATGAGGCGACGCGGTGGCGAGAGGACGTACAGCATCGATGGCGGCCGAAGACCGCGCAGGTCGTCCGAGGAGGCGGCGCAACATTGTCGCCCGCCAGTGCAAAGTGTTTTAAACACCATTCTGTGTGTGTGTCGCGTACCACTATTGTATACATGTTTAAAACAGCGCGCGCATCATCATTTCCGAGGACCAGAGGAATCTTCCTCGGTGATGGTCGACGCATGGTCCATGGAACGTGGCACGGTCGCAGGCAATCCCATGCACCGATTGCTTGTCCGGCTGCCATTGGACGGGCTATACATGCCCTCGCATTATTCGATCAGCTAAAGGAGCATCAACCCGCCTGTCTGGCCCACGCTCAAGTGCGACGCAGGTACAAATACGCGCGTCGGCTGCGCAGGCGCCGCTGTCGATGTCGACCACGCCTCAACCACGCCGCTCCACCGCGCGAATATGCACCGGGATGCTCGACTCGGTTGATGTCTTTAACTGTTTAAAACACCGAGGCATGCCAGCATTTCCATGGATGCGTTTTGATTGGCTAAAAATACACCAATCAAAAGAAGCATGATTTAATTGATTGCAATTATGGTCCATCAACAGGTGCTTTGTATGTCAATTAAACATTGTATTAAAATAGTACTGAGTTGGTGGCCATCCAGATCACTTGATGTTTGTATGCTGCTGTCCCGTATGGTATTTGCAAAGATATCCTCAGGGATTGCGCAACAGAGCATCAGTGGGGATAAGACGACGACGATGGCCAGCCCACGCATGCAGCCCGCGCCGCTTGCCGCCGCCGTCTCGCCCAAGGACAAGGACGTGCTCACGAGCTTCTTCCTCGCAGCGACGGCCGCCTCGTGCGCGAGCGTCCTCACCAACCCGCTCGAAGGTAGTACCGCCGCGAGATGCTAGCACGTTCCAAGCATGCATGCGCCACGTAGTTGTCAAGACACGCATGCAGCTGCAGAACGAGCTCGTCGAGGCCAGCTCCAAAGCCGTCGAGCGCGTGTACAAGAACCCGTTCCAGGCGCTGTACGTCATTGGCCGTCAAGAAGGCGTGCGCGGCCTCCAGTCGGGCCTTGGCATGACGATTGCATACCAGGTAGTACATGGCCTTGGCCGACGCCCACGTCTCACGGAAGATGCTAGTTTATGATTGCGGGCACGCGCTTTGGCTTGCATGACCCGGCCAAGCGACTCGTTGGACGCCGAGAAGGGCGCGGATTGGTACTGGACGCGGACGTACGTTGCCGGCGTGCTCTCGGGCGCTGCGTCGTCGTTCACGGGCAACCCGTTTTACTTGG